GATATTTGGTTAGCAATGCAACTAAAATCAGTATTAAAATGTATGTTTATAACCCTTTTTGAAGGATAACTTATTAAAGTGGGCAAGTGTTGATTTGAAAGATTTTTGTCATAATTTTCATAATATTTTGCAAATTATAGGCCTGAACCTGAAAATATTGTCAAGCATAGTACTTGCTGCTGCTGGAAATGAATAGTGCCACTTTTGGTAATAAGTACTAAGCTTAGAAGTAAGTGCTGACAGGGCGAGGTTCTAGGTTGATTTTGTCCATGAAAAGAATTAACATTTTGATAGCTTTTTGGCCATTGCCAGTTTCTATTTTCATGGGAGAGTCATCTGTCTTTTGAGACTAAATCATTTACCCACCAATTGTTCTAGTCCCTCTTCCATTCCATTGCTTGGTTCTCAAAATATTTTATTTTGTGCACAAACAAGAAAGGATCTGAAGAATGCAAACATTACATTACATTATTTATGAAGTGACATCTTATACTAAACTATGGATAATACCAGTTGTTTGTCTCTATCTTGTATTCCCTGTTAATTCCTTAATGAAGTTTTAGGGCATCTGTCAAGGAGGAATCCTGTGGACCCATAGATGGTTGCAATAAGTAGAAGAGAGATCTATGTTGAAATAAACCCCCCATAATTCCATCTGTTTTGGGACAAAGTGGATAAGGCATTATCTTTTTTTGCACCAATTTCTATTGGTGAGAAAAACTATAAAATATATTATCTCCCCCACCTTCTCTCTTATCCTGGGACCGATTCAGCTACAATTCTGCATACAACAATATTTGATACTCTGTCATAAATATGTGTAATTTGAAAATGTTTGTCATGAGAGCTGTTCAAATTATGGTGAAGTCAATAGGAATTATCAAGTGGCAGTTGAGAGCACTTTGCACCATGAGGTCCATAGTTTTTGCCTAAATTGTAGGAATATATACTTTTAAGAAATGAACAGCAAGAACTCTAATTTCCCCATGCTCTGCTGACACTGAACAGAATAAGTAGCTGTTTTTTTAAAAACTAATATCAGGCAAGGTAACTACATAGCCAGAGGCAAATGGGAAAAATGAGTAAAGATGGAGCTCCTATACCCTTTTTCCATCTTTCGGGCTGCTCTGATGGAGCAGCCCCCTCTCCCCATTCCATTAACTCCCCCTTTTCAGATGAACTCCAGTGCCTGCCAATATTACAGTGATAAGTAGCTTTCCCAAATGCCAGTAAAAGTGACTAGACTCCAATTATAATTTCACACTGTTGTAGTTGGTAGTATAGGCATTTGAATTGTAATGTAGACTGCAGAAAACCTCACTGCACCAGCTCATGTTTAAAGAGTATCTTTGTAACCATAAGAACTAGAAAATTAAAAACAAACAACAAATCTTATGTTCTGTACAGATTTGTGGCCTATTGCCAATGACAGTTTCTTAATGTCACGAATGCATGGATGAGTAAGGTAGATTTTCTGTTAATGTTCCTAAAAGTTCAGCAAGGAAACTTTCAGCACTCACTTTTTAAATTTAGCGCTTTTTTGGGGCAGGAGGAGCTAAAAGACAAAATTTTACTTTTATAATTGGCAGAAATTACTTCAAATAATATAAGAAGCCCTAATGCTAAAAAAAAAAAAAAAAAGTTGCTGCCATATTTAATGTGCTACATATTTAATAATTAGTATGTACAAATGTGAAGGAAATTGACTATGCACATATGAAATATTGTTTTAAAAAAAAGACTTCTGCAATAGCATTGGTGACTGAGAAAACTGAGATCTGACTCAGTGGACTATCCCAAAGTTCTTTAGTTGTACAAGTTTTGTGTACTTAACTACAATGTAGTAGAAGAAATATTTCAATGTAAATTGTTCCTTTAACATGGTTCACAATACTTCAGAGAAAAGGAAGAAGGGAGAACAATCATAACGAATCCTTAAATATGGTAGTATTGACCTCTAACAAAGACCAAACTCTATTTAGTAAACATACATTGTCTTTATTACCAATGAAAAAAATCCCTGTTTGAATGTTTATAGTAAATTTTAAGATTTGTTTGCTGTCCCTAAAGATATTTCTTTCAGCAAGATCTGAAAGACACCAATTCACTAATGGCCATACTTGGTTGGTGCATAGCATAGTTGGAGCATAGCATATGCCAGCTACTCCTACCCCGTACCAAGACACACCACCTTCATTCGGGCTTTGGTGCAGGAGCCAGATATATTGGCTTTGTATCATCTGGGACCTCCCCCACACTAGAGAATTTTCTAGATTGCCAGATTTATTTCTTTGTGCTCTCGGGTGGAATAAACCTACTGGAATGCAACTGAGCAAAGAATACATGAACAACATGGAGCAGGAGAACATGTTGAAGTGGCTGGTGGCAACAATAATCCAAGCTGCAGGAGTTAAAATAGCAAGATCCCGGGGAAAACTCTCATTTCTCCTGTTGAAAAATGATTGACAATAAAATAATATACCCGGATTTCCTGCGGAGTGACAGTTGTTCACCAAAAATATTGATTAAATAGCAAGGAAATAATTCAAATAGGTTATATTATTCTCAACTGACTTCCACTTAATTCTGATGCTGTAAGAAATTTACTATTTGCTAGAATTTTGACTGCAATTGTAGCTGTATTTTTGTGTGTAAACTTTGATACTTCTCTAATTAGTGTCCTATTAATGTAGTAGGAGTTCTGTATTAAATTAGAGAACACTGAGAGCCAGGACTGCTGGCTGTAAACAAACTTTATGGGACCATGGGAAACTTAGTCACACCCATGAGAAGTGGACATTCAGCTAACTAAAATCATGATGGACCATGGATGTTCCTGGACCAGACAATGCTGGACTAGAGGTTCAACATGTAATAGTTAGCCTTTTTGACCTGAGCAACAAGCCAATTATTTTGGGGTATTACAGGTTGATGTGGTTAGGAGGAGCAACAACTGATGTAGACAAGTCCTGTTTATTTATAAAAAATGTACAAGGCTCTGTTTCCACAAACACATTACACTTCAGATTTTAGCTGCTAGACTCTGCGGGGGAGGGGGGTTCCTTCGCAGCAGGCAGCCCAGGAAAGGCTGAGAAGTGCCCCAGTGGACCCTGTCACCTGGGAGTGACACAGATCCAAACGCCCAAGCTCTTCCTATAACTGTCCCTTTATGACTGGCTGAAGTTCTTTTAAATTGTGCTTGGTTCTATTACAGGAACTGAAGGAGTCAGGTTAAAGCTTAAACAGTTACAGGTTTATTGAGGAAGCTTATAAATCATATGGTTGCAATGGCTATTGTTCTATTTCTTAACTGCTGGCAAGTATATATATGTGTGTGTGTGTGTGTGTGTATATATATATATATATATATATATCTTTAAAATAAAAAAATGGTTACAAAGAAAAATAAAGATAGGAAATAGAAAATAATGGTACCAAATGACAGCTTAATGTTTAAAGAGCTCTATTCTATGCATGCACTAAAACAAAAGGACACATACGGGTACAATTTTTACCCCCTTCTGCGTCGCTCGGTCCCAGCGTGTCAGGCCAGGATCGGTCCCTCAATTCCTCGGAAAGACGAAAATACGAGGGGGGCATCCCCGTGGAACCTCGGGAGGTCAAAACACCTAACCCGACCAGCAGGTAGAGGGTAGATTGACACTCAAAAGTGAGTGTGCTCCTGTACCCACCTTTATACCCATTGGGTCACGTATTTCTCTTTCTTATCTGTGATGCCAAATGGTGCTGGTCTGTCTTTTGTGAGACCAGTTCTTACAAGGGAGTTGTGAACTTAATTTACACTTGTAAGAGAGAGTTGAAAGGATATCATTGGAAGTACTGGGCATTCTTTTTCTCAGTGGGAAATTCCTTTCCCAGGGACTGTGTGTGTTCGAATCAACATGGGTGCCAGCCGGGCACTTCTTGCAGCCTCGAGCTCAGTTTATTGCCTTAATCGTCACTCAGAGTCAGGGAACACTCGCATATCCTGATCTTGCATCAAAGTAGATGAAAGCTTAATGGCTATGCTGATTTTCTTATTGTTCCTTCTCTGCCCTGTATACAGACATCTCAGAGGGCAAGCAAGATTGGTTGAGATGGGGGGGAGGGGGCTGTCTGGCTACACATGCATGTAACAGATGAAGAGCTAAAGAACTGCTTGTGTTAAATTGTGGACATTTTAAAGAAATTAGCTGCATCAGACACATTGTTTGTGTCCACCAAAATTACACACTCGTATTGACACCCATAATATTTTCAAGAAACAATATACTAATTTTTTTTTCTTCTATTAAATTGTTCTTGGCTTTGGGAATCCTAACCAGAATAGCAAGGGGATAAAGCTTGGGACTTGAGGATAAAGACCGTGTGGACAAAATATGCTATATGCATTTTACTTTGTCAGCCTTGTGTCAGTGGAATAATGTAATCAGATGTGAAAAGCTACATGAAAAAGACCCCACAGAGGTTGGAGCCCCATTGCACTAGTGTTGTACAATACAAAAAGAAAAATCCCTGCCCTGAAAGATATTATCTCAAGATGCTGATGAAAGATAGGAGGTAAAGATAACATAGTGTGGTTGCAAATGAACCTGCTGAAGAGTTGGCACAAATTACATGTATTATGGTTTTTTAAATCAGGTGGTGGAAGGATACAGAACAGGGTATATAGAAGCATAGAGGAAGCATGTTTCAAGTTAACGTTTTATCCTTAAAAGCAAATATGAAATTACCAAAGAGTGGAGGTTTCAGGGTTAGTTTTGTTTTTGGAGTAGTGAGACAAAAGTTTACTTGAAGCATATTTAATTTTATCAAGTAATTTTTTTGTATAGCTGCTTGGCAACCTTGGTATTTTAATCAAGTCTGGTATATTCCAACTATTAACTTGGAGCTTGTTGGTTTTTACATGTATGCACTAAATATTTCTCCTTCTTTAGCTATTAGTGTGAATTTATGAATTTACCTTGATTTTTGTGTAATTATTTTTTTTTTCTTGTCAGGAAATACTGCATTACATGACTGTGCAGAGTCTGGAAGCTTGGACATCATGAAGATGCTTCTTAAATACTGTGCAAAGATGGAAAAAGATGGCTACGGAATGACTCCCCTTCTATCAGCCAGTGTGACAGGTCATACAAATATTGTGGACTTCCTGACCCAGCATGTACAGACTAGTAAGGCAGAACGCATCAATGCTTTGGAGCTTTTAGGAGCAACATTTGTGGACAAAAAAAGAGATCTGCTTGGTGCTCTGAAATATTGGAAAAGAGCTATGGACATGAGGTACAGTGACAGGACTAATATCCTCAGCAAACCTGTGCCACAAACACTAATAATGGCTTATGACTATGCCAAGGAGGTGAATAGTGCAGAAGAGCTAGAAAATCTTATTGCAGACCCTGATGAAATGAGAATGCAAGCACTGTTAATTAGAGAACGTATTCTTGGTCCTTCTCACCCAGATACATCCTATTATATTAGGTACAGAGGTGCCGTCTATGCAGACTCCGGAAACTTTAAACGATGCATCAACCTATGGAAGTATGCTTTGGACATGCAGCAAAGCAACCTAGACCCCCTGAGCCCTATGACAGCCAGCAGCTTACTGTCATTTGCTGAACTCTTTTCTTTCATGCTACAGGATAGGGCAAAAGGCCTGCTAGGCACCACTGTTACATTTGATGATCTTATGGGAATACTGTGCAAAAGTGTCCTTGAAATAGATCGGGCTATCAAACAAACTCAATGTCCACCTGACCAAATACAGCTTAACAAAGCTCTTTCTATCATTTTGCATTTAATTTGCTTGCTGGAAAAAGTTCCTTGCAGTCCGGAACAGGACCACTTTAAAAAGCAGACTATTTACAGGTTTCTTAAACTGCAGCCTAGAGGAAAGAATAACTTCAGCCCGCTTCATCTTGCTGTTGATAAGAATACTACATGTGTGGGTCGATACCCTGTTTGCAAATTCCCTTCCCTACAAGTTACTGCTATACTGGTGGAATGTGGTGCTGATGTAAATGTCAGAGACTCTGATGATAACAGCCCTTTGCACATTGCTGCACTGAACAACCATCCAGACATCATGAATCTTCTTATCAAGTCAGGTTCACACTTTGACACCACAAACTTGCATAAACAAACTGCTAGTGATTTGCTGGATGAGAAGGAAATGGCAAAAAATTTGATCCAGCCCATAAATCATACCACATTGCAGTGTCTTGCTGCTCGTGTTATAGTGAATCACAGCATATGTTATAAAGGGCACATCCCTGAGAAACTAGAAAACTTTGTGTTGCTCCATAGATGATAGTGTGACATTTGCACAGTGCTGTTGAAGCACAAGTTGGTGACATTAATTGTTGCTTTCTCAAGCACTGTTGTGATACACCAGCGTTCATTTAGTTTGACCTATCGTGTTCTCATTGGCTAAAGCATCATTAGCATCAGATCTGCAGGATTGGCTACCCAGTATTTAATATGAATATGCCATATAATATATTTTGTGGATTATTTAGAAATGTAATGCCATATTTAGACTCTTAAAATTGTCTGCCAAAGGCTCGTCTACTCTGTTGGGTTACTTGTTGTGTGATGGGGACTGAGTTGAATATTTTTCACTGGTGTCTTTTTACTATTACTGGTATGTGGATTTTATACAGTTGGTAGGTCATCTTTTTTGTTTTTGCTTGCACATTTCTACTCAAATTCTGTTTTTTCTATGAACTCCATTGCTTAAACAGAACAAGTTGTATGGACTTGTTAACATTTGCAATTACCATAAGTGCTTTATCTTCTCTATGCACTGGCTTAAACATGACTGTTGTGTGTTAGCATATTTCTATGCAGCAATTGGCCAACTTCAGCTCAAACAGCAGTTTTACGGAGCTTTTTCTGAGACTATTTCCTTCACAGCATGACAATTTTTGGAGCTACTTGTCAGTTGTCTAAACTTTTTGGTTTGACTTTTATTCTAGTTGTATATGAGACTGCTTTCTCTTAGTCCTCTGGAAATGTGTGATAAATTTGGGAGAAAAATCTATTCTTGTTCTCTTGGTAACCCAGTTGAAATTTAATCTAAGTCATTCTGATGCATCATGCAGCAAGGGGAAGAGTTCTTATTATGTACAACTGAGACTTTCCCTCTGCACTAATGTCTTGTTTGTGCTGATCGTGTGACTAGTTGTAGAGAGTTGCTCAGATTTTTAACCTCAAACTTAATACACTTGAATAAGAAATAAATTGAATGTATGCAGTAGTCTGAAATTACAAGTCAACTTCCTTACCTACAAAAAGGAACTAAAGCATGTTGGTGGCATGATACTTGTCAGTTCAGGATTAGACATCTAGTATAATTATACTACATTATAGTGAGTGGCTCTCTGCCAACATATCAAAATTCCATAGCAGTGTCCCTTCATTTTAAATATACCCTTTTAGATAATTTGCATGCATTTTCACCTCTCATTGTCAGCCATACTTAAACACAATCTATGTTGTGTACATAGATTCTATTGAAAGTTACCTATTTTTATAATATTTGCACATCAGCTTAGCTATTGCAGCAGAAAGGGCTCTTTCAACTTGATTAGAAATCTATAAGTGAAAATTATAAATGAGTAAGATTCAGGTAATTGATACAATTCAGCACTTTATTGTTGATTCAGAGTAAAACTTATTCTGGCACATTAGCCCTACAAATGTCTTAACATTGTTCTCAAGAGAAAAATGTATTTTGGGTTGAGTAGAGTACAACTTACTGCCAATTCAGTGGTCAAGCACAGTGGATGTCATTTGATTTGGCTTTTCCTTACAGTGATGGTCAATAACCATGCCTAGTGGGTTTTTTTAACTCCAAAATTGGGTGGATTTATTTGTATTTTCATCAGATTATGCGACAGATGATAGCAAAAGGATTTCAAAAGCCAAATTCATGATACTGAGGTGACTTGAACTTAGTGCTTTACGTTTTTTAATTTGATTTTAAAGTATTTTTGTCTTTGATGTTTGTGAATTGCCTTGGTGATGAGCTCATCCCTGACAGTGTGAAAAGGCAGTGCTTTCCTTACATTTTGATTGTTTAGGTATTCTCTCTCTCTCTCCTTTTAGCTTATGAAGTGGAGTGGCTATGTCACCCTCAGATCTTAATGAGATGGATGGTTTTTAAAAAGTTAGCAGAAGCTGTCAGTAGCCCTGTAATTTATACATATTTCAAAGTTTAAAAACAGCATAAACTATATTGAAACAACTTTTTACTTTTTGTCCTATGACACATTTGTATTGTTTGTATGAAAAGCAAAGCTTGAGTTGACTGAATCTCACAAAGATACAGTAGTACATTTCTATTCAATTGGCTGAATTTCTTTAATTTATAATTATTAAAACACGTGCTGCATCAATTGTTGATGGTAAGAACAAATAGTTTCATTGCTTCATTTTTTTATTTTGAACACTCTTCCTCTTTCACTTACTATTCTGCAAGTTGATTTAATTAGTGATCAACACCACAACATAGGAATGAGCCACAATGTGGCTAGAACATCAACGTGGATAATAGAAAAAGGGATTCTAGAATCTGTTCTGCTCTTCATTGCTAATACAGGTTGGACCTCCCTGGTCTGGCACCCTCAGGACCTGAGTGGTCCTGAATGAGGGATTTTGCCAGACCAGGGGAGGTCATTTCTGGCCCCCCTGCCACTGGCCTCCTAGCCCATCTCCACTCCTGGCCTGGCCTCATTGCTGGCTCCCCACCTGCCACCAGCCCCACTGCCTTACCACAGCAGTCCGCAGTCCCACTGCTGAGGCTCCCAGCTCTGCTGTGGCAGACCACTGTCCAAACCCCAGTGCTCCTGGCCTTGCCAGCCCTGCTGTGGAAACAGTAGCCCTAAAAGCTTACAGTCCTGGCGCCAGGGCTCCCAGCCCCACCGTGGAAGACCGCTGCTCAGCTGCCGGGGCTCATGGCTCTGCCAGCCCTACTGTGGCAGCATCAGCCCTGCTGCTGGGGCTGCTGACCTTGCCAGCCCTGCTGGGGAAACCAATTGTTTGGCCACCAGGGCTCCTGGCCCCACTGTGGCAGACCGCTGCCCTACCACTGTGGTAGACTGCTGCCCTACCACCATCAGAGCCCGTTGGCATTCCAGCCACCCTGCCGCTGGCTCAGCCAGACTCCCACAGCAGGATTCCTGGCTGCTGGGCCCCCTGCAGCCAGCCAGACTGAATTTCCAGCTTTTGCAGGGCTTCTGTTTCTGGCCTTCCACTGGTACTCTCTGGTCCTGCTGGACCACGTATGTTGCTGTACCAGAGTCCTGGTTTTGAGAGAGTTCAACCTGTAGTTTTAAATTTCTAACTTTGAATGGGATAATGGGTATTTGGACAATTTTTGCAAGAGTTTTATCTTTGAGAGTTCACAACTATGATTTAAAAATAATAAGAATACTGCACTGTTGTTCCGGTGCTGTTACTCTGGTTCTGAAGTAAAAAACATACTCATGAATTTTCTGGCTACCAAAACCTTAGAGAATATAATTTTCTTTATATAGTGATTTGATGAAGGTTCCCAAGTCTTAGTATGAAAGTTTATTGCACCGTTTGTTTTTTAAAGAAATGCATGCAAATATCATAAAGTATATGGCACTAATCTACCAGTGTAACTTCATCCTGACCTACAGCACCTCTGTTATTATGAATTTTGTTTTTGTAATTAGAGGAGCCCACCTAAGGAACTTTTATGGTCTCCAGGTATTTAAACCTAGGTTTCCAGAGGGTAACGACTGGTGCTTTTAAACACATCTGCCACTTAGCCACCAGTATTCATTTTACCTTTCTTAATTTTTGTTTCACTTTCAAATTAAAGCAGTCAAGATGCCACTGACAGTAATAAGGTGCTGTGGCCTTTCATTGAGTTTATTAGAGGGCTCTAAATTTAGCTTTCCGCCTTCTGAAACAAGGTTCTGATTACATTGTTCTTGGTGGTGTTACTCCTTTTTTGCTAGTATCGGGGTTATCCTAGTGAAACACAGTGATGCGAAAATTCAGTAGTGCTTTTAGCTGAAACTAAAGCATACTAAGGAAGTAAAGGACGTGATAATGAATGATTTTATCTTCTCCTTTCTGTCCTTATTTACTTAATACTCTTCTTTCTGTTATCTTCCTGTTACATATTTCTATAACTGGAATATACGGCTCCACAGGTACCAACCCAGTGACACACGTGTGTCAAGGACATTGCATACCACCTTATGTATTTTTGAGGTGCAACACATTTTATAAAATTTAAACAATCTACAGCATGTTCCTAAGAAAATAGTATACCAATATCCCCCAAAGGCCTGCTTGTTGAGAATGTGATGGTGGATTTTCTTTATACATGTATGTGCGGGTGCACATGTGCCCACACACATGATTTTTTTCTTCAACCCACCAAAGCTTTCATTGGAATACTACAGCCAGGGAGATGAAAACTACAGTGGTATAAAATGAAACTTTCTTCTTTCCCCCCTCAGAATGCTAAAGTGAATTTTGTATTTCTCTCACTGTTGTTGCCGTCCTAATAGCAAGTACTCTCCATATGTTTTTGCTATCTTTGGTGGGTCTGACTACTATAGCGCAAAATGTTTACTGCATAAGTGTGACTGTGTTTTCGCAGATGCTAAAGGTAGACTCTCTGACATGCAAATTCTAATTTTAAATGAATATAGTGTCTGTGAAAGGGGTTGAATTGAGAGCCATCTGTTTATCTGCAGATTAGATACAGCGATACTAATGTAAATTTTCGTTCTGTATTCCAGCACTAAATATCCTACCTGGAGGACCAAAATTTTTGAGGGAGAGGATAATTTTTAGTCTTCATCCTTACACAATCCTTAGTGCCTCAGATAAGATTAGCATTTTACATTTGTTGTGATATAGACATCTATTCGCTAGTTGCTTAAATGAGATTGTCAGATCATTTCCTGTAGATCATCAAAAGGCTGACAGTTACTAAATTCAACCTGGTTTTGAGATCTCAATCCCAATCTCTTTGCCATCCAATCTCATTCCAAACCATTCTGCAACAACTTTGATAGAAGATATAGGTAAATATTTCCTAGCTCCCAAAATGATCCTCTATTGAGAACTGCTTTTAAAACTGGATGGACATACATTATTTCCATTTTTAAAAAATGCTATTTTTTAGAAAGGAATGGTGTGTCATGAGAGACTTTATACAGAAGGATAACATCCTTATTAGGAAAATCATTTGTATCGCTTCAGTTTTCATATCAATTGCAAAGTAATAGTGGCTGTGTATGTGACTATGCTACAAGTTTCATTGAATGAGTTTCAAATGTAAAGAGTAGAATACTGACTGGGTTATGTAATTTTTATAAGTGAATATGAAGACATTGTACAAATGTTGATTGTCTTTAAAGTCAAATGACAGGGCATGGTAATTGGTATTACAAAGTAATTTTGTGTCAGAAGAGTTGATGGCATCATTGTAAATGAGGGGCAGAGATAATCTAATGTAGTTTGAAGAACACTGTTTTATACTGTACAAATCCCGTGGCTTCGGTAAGTGTGAAAATAACTGTTGTATGGACTTTGACTCTTTGCTAATTGCAAAGTGGAAAAGTGATTGTTTACCTGATTTTTAACTCATTTTGTATAAATGTTCCATCATGTCACAGACTTCCTATGCAGGGCTAGCTCAGCGTATTGAAATACTGCAATTTCTTTTTTACATGAAGTAATTAAGCTTTAATAGTAATGTAAAAAAGGAATAACAAACTTTGCTCTTAATCTCTTTAGGCTCCAAATGCAAATTAAATTAAAATTGTTTTGGAGAACCACTAGCTGAGTCAGTATCTATTTTCTTTAAGGGCTACTGTGGATTCCTCTTAAAAAGGGCATTTTCTATCAAAGTAAGGAGGACTAAACTATGAGGGTTACAGCTTTTCCTCCTGTTGCTACTAATGACTGTATCCAAAAGGGAGTTAAACATGACTGCTGTCTCAAATGGTTTGAGTTCTGAACAGGCAGTGGGGAGGAAATTAACTTCAAGCTTCACGAAGACATTGCAGCTGATGGAGAGAAAGTATACAAAATTAAGGTAGTGCTGCTTTAAATGTTATATAGTTCAGTTGCTTATGTTTACAACATAACCAAACCTAATCAGTTATTTTCAGAACAAACTTTAGGGAAAAACTCATGTGACACCAAAAAGTTAGCAAAAAGGTGTGGGCTCTGAAGTCTTTCTCCTGAAACTTAGAGAATGAGAAATGTATGTTCTAGACTGGAGTTCTAGAAGGGGAGGTGGGTAAAGCTATGAGATGATCTCTCATGAAGTGGGCTGCCAAATTGCAAAGCTTTGAACTGTGTTTTTATTGTTTGGGTTTTTTGGGATCTTTGACTATAAGTTACATTTATTTTTGTAGTGCCCCAAAGAGTAGCAAACACTTGTTAGTATTAGAATTTGCTCATTTCAATTTATACGTGACACAGTGAGTCAGAGTAGCAAGCAACAGAAAAGGGATGAGAGAGACCAAGGAGTTTTACAGTGAGAAAATCCAGTTACTCAGATAAGCAGCTGCACGTTTTAATGGGTCAAATATGTTTCAAGTATACGTGACTAACTTTTTGGGGTATCCTAAAAAGAGATGAGTTTTCTTCTGTATGAGGCAGAAGCTCAGTAGAGTGCCCATTGCCGCAGGCATTGATGAGGCAAGTGATGGTTTCTTTTGGGTCAAATCTTTCATCTAACTCTGGAAGAAATAGAGGGAGGAAAAAGTAGGGACTGAGGATGTTAAATACCAGTTATTTTACTAGTCAACTAGTCAATGGAATTTTCATCACTACTCAACTAGTCGATAGACACTTCCACATTCCTCCTTTGAAATCTACAAGAGCTGCTCCAGGGTCTCTTGTACATTTCAAAGGAGGAATGTGGAACTCCACCACAGCCTGGAGCCAACGGGAAGTCCTGCTGACTCTGGGCTCCACGCAGGCGCTTCTGCTTTGAAATGCATAAGAGCCCAGTGGGGGCTCTTGTGCATTTCAAAGCGGAAGTGCCCACATGGAGCCTGGGGTTAGCAGGGGACTCAGAGTTCCCCGCTGACCCCTGGCTCGATGTGGTGCTGCCACATTGAAATGCCATGTGAAGCCGGGGTGAGCTAGGGACTCCCCAGCTGATCCTGGAGTCTGTGCAGTGCTGCCCCTTTGAAACTGTCACGCCATTTCAAAAGGGCAGCATCGCACAGAGCCTGGGATCAGCTCCATGCGGCACTGCTGCTTTGAAGTACTTCCTCTTCTCCCCCTCCACCCGCTGTCTCTCTCTGATCATCTTCTTTGCCCTTAGCTCCTATGGGAACATAGGCCATCAACAATTTCTTTCCAAGCCTCTCTGCCTCTGTCTGATAGAGGCAGCAAAATGGGCGGCAGGGGGGAAGCGACTAGTCGACTCAACTATCTGATAAGCATTTGCTTATCGGATAGTCGACTAGTCCTTAACATCCTTAGTAGAGACAAGCAACATTATAGTTCTGCCTAATCTTGCACCCTAAACATAAGCTGGCATACAAACATAGATTTGTTCTTCTGCAGCATGTGAATGGTTGCCATTTCCTACCATTGGTACAGCACAGTCTTTGTTATACTTTCAGCCACAGCTAGTGCACCATCTATCTAACTGAAGTGCAACTTCTTCTGTCCTCTGAGGCGTTCCCAGTATCATTTAATACGCTCCCCAAGGCAAAATAAAACATGGTTTCAAAATGAGCAAAAATTGAAGCAGAAAATAAAATGTTTACATAAATTGTACTCTTAGCTAAGTTGATGGTTAGTCCAGACCAATGGATATGTGAGAACCTAGTAGAAAGAATCTGGCATTGGGCCCTTGCTGCTGCTGGGTCATATTTATGGGTGGAAAGCAGTTCATGAGCAACTTACAGCAGACTTTTAAATGACTGTGCTACTTCATACAAATCACAGTTAGAGTTGGAAAATTAGAACTGAGTCATGCTGTTAGTTCCTTATGCCAAAGTAGCATGATTGGAGGATGTGTCAGACACGCTGAACATAATATATCCTGTGACTTCATTAGGAAAGCCTGCCAGTGTTTAAATTTACTTACTTTATTTCGCATGTATAGTCTCTTGGAAAAAAGCCAGGCACAACTATTAATTGTTTTGTTGTCTTGTTCTTATACTGTGCCCATCATTGTGGTATCTGAGCACTGCCGCGGTAACATTTTTAAAGATCATTTTTCTCCTGCTTTTGACTCCCAAGTTACTATTGTCAACTGTTACTTTCCATGGCATAAATAGAATTGGAAAATTAAATGAAATCTGCAGCCACACAAACTCTCCAGAGCCACACAATGAGGTTTAGCTGCCTGTTTTCCTAACTAAGGTGAAAAAACCATGTATATCAAGTTTGTCTACAATTAGTAGTTGCATACAGGTTACAAATGCCTATTAATCAGGTTGGGGAGAAATAATGAATTCATATTTAACTGTGTGAGCTCATACTGTTGACGCTCAAGTTGATGACAACTTCTGTGGGAGTTAGGTTTAGGGAAGCACTACTTGATTAGATTTGTATGGAGTGATGCCAATAAAATGTCTGATCTACTCAGAAAAGACAACTCTTCCTTGTTTTGACATACTGAAGGTTATGAAATGGGGCTTGGGAGAGGAAACTGTTCAATGGTTGACAAAGGTTAGGATATTGAAGAGTTATAGCTTAAGAAAACCTAGCTGACACCTACCATTCTAAAAACTAATCATACTAGCCAGTGTGAAAAATCCCTGTACCATCACAGGCCATTGGAATCTTTAGTTCAGAATGTTCTCTTCCCACCTGCTCAGGTAGGAGGAGAATATCTGCCCAGGTTTCAGCCCACTTGCAGTGTCCAAGAGCTGCAACTCCTGTTCCCTCTTATTTTTCTGTATATGGAATGAATGACTGACACTATGGAAATTTAAAATTGGTGAGCCCAGTGTCTCCTAACTTAATCCCTTCATCTCTGATCATCCCTCTCTGTTCCCTCCCTTAGCTTCTCTTCTACTTAATTCCCACTCTCCTCATTCTCTCTCCTGTCCCTTTTATCTGTAATGTGTTCCCCACCCCTCCCCCCGCAATTTTTTCTCCCCTGTGTCACTTTTTCCAGAGCTCTGCTTGGAACTGAAATGGAAATTGAGGGCATCAGCAGGATTGGGCTCTTGCTAAATAAGCCTTTTGTGCTCTTATGTCTCACAATTGAACAGGTTTATTTTAATTTAAACAAAATTGTATGGGAAGATAGGTATGTCAGAAGAGACATGGGCTTCAACATGATCCTCATCACCCAGCCTAAGGAATAACTTAGCTACTATTTCTCTGAAGTTATTCTCCAACTACTGATTGCAGAACTTGGCAGCAACTCAACATCACTGGAATTCATATAGGGTTGAATTTGCCCTTAATAAATAGCTGTCCTCTTCATTGCTTTTTACCTTGTACAAAATTCTGGGAGAGGAGGCGAGATCATGTCCTTAATTGAATTATGAATCCATAAACACAGCACTGATGGTAGGTTTCTGCACTGGAATGAAGGTCCTTAGAAGTTCTGCCCTCTGTTTAAATCTGTGGTTGTTCTAACATTGCACAACTTAGGAATTTTGAGAAATGGTCCTAAATGTGTTCATTTTTCAATGTATTTTAAAGGTTCTCTAGTGTTGTGTGTGCAGGAAGTTCCAATTCCCTTATGTTGTGACCTTCTCTAGTTCTTTTGTATTGCAGAAACATAATATTAAGAACGTGCCTTTCATTGGCTTCCTTTAAAGTTGTGCATCTGTCACGTAAAAGTGGGTACCTTGTAAAAACCAACCTTTGCTGTGTATCCTGCTTGACTTTACCTCTTTGCCTTGCTGTTGACAGGGCAAGTGTCATCTGATTCAGAAGTGTTTTCTAACAGGTTCCAGAATAATATGAAAGAATTGGTTTGAACTGGCAAATAGTGTTTATTGGAGATTTTTGTTATCTGAAAATCAATTTGGGGCTGACCCAAACAGTCAGTGGCATAGCGAGGAGGCGGCAGGGGCGAGCAGTTGCCCCCAGGTCACACTAGAGGGGCCCCAATATAGCAGAGGGGGAAGGACTGCGCTAGGACCCTGTGCACCTTCCTCTTCTGTAAATTGAAACGGAGTGAAAAGCGAGGGGGGCGGCACATAGGGTGGGGGTTCAGGCTGAGCATGCATAGCATGCAGCTGGTGCGCAGGCCCCATCTGTGACTAAAACCCGCACAACACCCTTCACCTCTTGGGCCACAGCATCTATGTCCTTGCCCGCCCCTCCGAGATACCGCAGCTGCCTTTTGGTCAATCTGGCTGGAAGCGGAATGGCCCGGTGTACTGGAGGGAGCCCCATGTGGAGGCGGGGCAGGCAAGGGGGGGGTCTGGTTGGGGTCACAAATTTCGCTTTTGCCCCATGGCACACAACACCCTCGCTCCACCACCACAAACAGTAGCTTCTTTATCAAAGAGACGAGTGCCCTATTTCTAAAAAAGTGAATGTTTCTTACAAACTGTGACACCAATCTAGACAACTGGACATACTGCTCTAATCATAAAGGGCAAGAAGCAATCCAATGTTCCAATGCCATTTCCCACCACTCCTTCACATGTTTCATCTGAAGAAGTGGGTTGTACCCATGAAAGCTTGTGATATCATCTACATTTTTGTTAGTTTTGCAGCACATTAGAGACTGTTGTTTTTAAGTTTATTCAGTTACAGACTAACCCAGCTACCCCTCTGAAACTTTCCTTCACATGAGTTCTGCTTCTTGCTCCTACATCAGACATGAACAATGTCAGATGGAGTATTACAGTAGTTGAAAATATCCAGTGAGAGAGTCTTCTGTGACAGAGAAAGCGTGTGTTCTTCTTGCAAGTGTCAGGATGCCTTATTTGGCACCAGGGTCATTTTATTTGTGCATAAGCTTCTTCACTAGGAGAATGTTCCTATTGTATCCGCAGCAGGCAACGGTGCAAAACTGCTTCCATTAGCAGAGCTTTGATATATTCACTTATATGTGAATACCTAGGTTGGAAAAGAGCATGGGAAATTCCTAGCGGTAGCATGAATTTCTACGATATAAAGGGAAGATGAAAACAAGAATCTTTTGACCCTAATGTGTTAACATGAGTGTTTAGCCATTAGGAATTTTTCATGACATGGTGCTAAAAAGTCGTGACTCCTCTCTTCACTAGTATTCAATGACATTGTGGACAGTCACAGTAATAGTGATACTAGTTGTGTCCATATGTGGATTTCTGTGTACAAGCCTTGCAGTACAAATTCTCTGCCTCAGTTTTCAGTTAGTCTTGGCTCTACCTTTCAGCTTAACTAGTATAGGAAAACCAAGGAGCCATTGAATATTAAACTAAATAATGGTCTATGTTCCCTCTAATTTTTTCTGTCTGTGTGAATTTTTTTCATCCATCTGCAGAATAAATATGTTATGTATACTGAGGCATGTGTGAATGTGAACCACCAATAGAAACAGAAAAACCTAGCTGTGGATGCTCTGCTAATCAGCTGGGTGGCATCTGACACTCTCCTGAGCGGCTGCACAAGTACCCTCCTTCCAGGGACCACCCTGACTTTCACTCATCTCCCTCCAGGCAGGCTCTGTATGGGGTATGTCTAAACTACATATGGGAATGCAGCTTCCCAGCTGTGTACTAGTGGGACTTATGCCAACACTCTAAAAATAGCCATGTAGGTGTTTGGTTTCAAGAGGTTGGGTTGGGCCCTCCAACCCTATCTCTAAAAAGTGTTCCGATCCAGAGCAGACTGTTGCAGCTCTTTTTAGTGCACAAGTCTGAGCCCTGCTATCCTGAGTGT